GGGCAGGCCCGGCCCGTGTCAGCTGTAGCGCTCGCCCTGGAAGCGCGGCGCGAAGTTCCTGACGGCCTCGTTCTCCTGCGTGGTGATCAGGTCGATGATGGCTGTGAGCACGGCTGTGTCCCTGCTCTGAGTGGCATTCCAGTCCACGGGCTGAGGGTTCTCTATCTTTTCTTGCAGAAGATCATCGAGTTCTTGTCTCAGTTTCTGCAAAGTGGTGCAGTAAAGACAAAGGGAAGAGACGGGCACTTAGAGGTACACACAGCATCAACAGAGAGCTTCCAGTGCCTCAGGCCCTCTGTTCTCCTCACCTGGGCACCTGCTCTTCCCCCATCATTTCCACATTGCCATTTTCAGGATCAAACACTGGCTCTCAAAACCCAGTCTCTTTACTGAGACTCACATCACATGCCTCTAACAGCCCACCCAACACTTAGCTGACAATTTCAGGATTAAAAAGAGTGGTTTAAAATAAAAATAACATTAATACTAAATTATTAATATATTAGTCTATATTATATTATTAAAAATTAATATTAAATTATTAAATAAAAATTAAATTAAAGAGCCAGGTATGATTTCTGGGATCTACTATTAAATAGTTCTATGGAACCCATTCCTGTTAACTAAGGAGCCCCACTCCCATGTTGCCATATCCATGTGGATATTCCCAAGTCATCCTACAGCTTCTGTGCACAATTAATTTCTCCTGTTTACTTTGTGTGCTTGAACTGCTCACTGGGAGTGCATTTCCAACATCATCTCCCTGAGTACTGAATCAACAGACATACAGGAATATCAAATCTAGAAATCCCTAAGCAGAACCAGAGTCACACTGAGCCTTCCAGGTACATTATTTTGAAACAGTCACCTTGACCAAGTTTGCTATTTTTTCTGGAGACTGGAAAACAATCCATTCATCCACAGCGATGGTTTCCTGGTCCTTATCCTTCTGAATGGATATATCCCCTCCAAAGAACAAGAGGCAGTATGGAGACACCTCTGTGCAGTCATACAGGTAAATCTGCACAACAACAGAATTGTCTGATCACCCTCCAAGTATCTCAAGTGCCATCAGTAACCCTTAATGCTCCTACAGAAATCCCGAAGAGCTTTACTCAGTTACTCACAAATTCTGAAGATGCATGAAGCAACTCAGTTCAAAAAAAATTACATGAAATCAGATTGAACAAGGGCAAAAATGGTCCCAAGTCTTTCAGTCTTTCACACAGTGGTCGAATGAAACCAGATGCTCCATAACAGTGAGAGGAAAAAATCTCAGCATATTGAGAAGTGTTAAGACTGGATTGAAATGAAAAAAAAAAACAAAAACAAACCCTAAAATAAAAGAATCTACACCTGTTACTGCCAAACCTTTAAAAACCCCAAATCCTCCATAAAACCCCCAAGAACTAAACCCCAGCAGTTCATTATTTGTGGTACCATACCCCCAGTATCACAAAGGATGATGTGATCTGATGTTGTGTCCAAGGAATGGCCCAGGACAGGAAGGCCCCACAGCAAAGGCTGTTCACATCCCCTCTGAACCCTGATCCAGCCTCATTCCAAAAGGGATAAGAAAACAAAGAAACCCCACAGGCACAGCCCCCACTCACGCTGCTGGTCCTCATCTTCAAATGGTACACGAGCCAGTTATAATGGAACTCTGTTTCCTCCACATTCACTGATTTGGGGTGGATATTAACTGATCCATCTGTCTTGGTGCAAACCTTCACCCTTCAAAGAAAAAACAACAACAAAAAGAGTCTGGTAATACAGGAAGTGATAAACCAACAGACCAGGATCCCTGGGGTCTCTCTCCCCAAATAACCAGAAGTGACAAGGTTTGAACTGCTGCTGTAGAACCCCTTTAGAGCCGTGCTACTGAGATGTTGTAACATTATCCATGGCATGGTAAGGCCACACAAATGATTGCAGGTGTTAACAAGAATCCAGATGGTCAAAAATCAGCAATCCCACCCTTCTCAGAGGACCTAACATACAACCATGACTCAAACTCTAAAGTGAGACTCATTCATGCACTCATGGCCCTGCTTCACCTTGCCAAATTATGCCATGTAGAAAACACCCTGAATACAATCCAATATTAAACCAAACCCTCACATTTTCCTCTTTTTGCTGAAGCTGGGCCGGATCTTTGCCACTTTGGGATAGAGGCCAGCACAGATGACTGCTTTGAGCAGCTTCTCATTACCTGCAGGAGACACCAAAGTCAGTGAGGCAGTTCTGCAAGCTGAGATTTCAGCTGGGATAAAATCTCCCTGTCCCTCCATGGTTACCTGAGTTGGTGTTAGATTTGGGATCCTTGGGGTTTCTGCTGTTCACAAATCCAGCTGCAAGGAGATGCTCAGCAAACTGCCCTTTCATGTTATGCAGCATCTAGGAAACAAGGAAAATTACCCCAGAATGATGCTCTGCCAAGGGCTCCTCCTCTTCCCCACACACAGGATCCTGCTGGGGCCTGGCAGGATGCTGTTACCTGCATGGTATTTGAGGACAGGAAATATTCCCAGCAATAATCCTTCTCATTCCTGAAACCACAACTCCGAGCCTCTTCCCAGCCCTGGGAACAAAAACCAGAGTTCCAAGGCATTTGTAATACACACTGCAAACTGAAGGTCAACAAACAGCAGTCAGTGTTCCCTAGCAGGGAGAAAGCAAATCCTTTGATCTCTGTGTATGTGCACACACCACAGTGCAGATAAACACAACTTCACACTATGCTGAATCACAACCTTCCTTTTTCCCTGGCAGGCAGTGATGCCTGGCTGTGTTTGCCAGAGCATCCTTTGGTGTAATTAATAGTTCTGGGCAGTAACTGCATTTTCCAGGCCATTTATGTCCTCCTCTCTTCACCCCAACACAATACAGCACAATGTCCAACACTTCTGAAGTTGGCTTCAGCCTCTTTTAGACTGAACAATTTCAGTAAGGTAATAATACTATGTGTCCTTTGTCTTTTTCAGACTTGTCCACCAGAAATCAGGTTACTGAGCCTGGAGACAAGATTATGCAACACTAGAAGGATGACAATCAGTTTGATTTTATGTTTCTGTAGAAGCCAAACTAGAAAGCTTACAGAGCATAAACTGATCAGCTTTTTCCTTAGCATCATCTATATAACTCCAATTAAAATTCTAGAAGAAAAAAGCACATGAAAACATGCTTACAGTGAAAGCATTCACCACAGTCAGATGGTCGCTTTTCGAGTTCTTTGACAGCTCCTTTCTTCTTGCATCTGCGATTTTCTCTTTGCCCTAAAATTAGAACCTTTGTAATACCCAAACTGACATGACAGTTCTCTTTTCCAAATTCAGGTACATCCATGCAGCAATACTTTGGATGTAACACACGAAAATTATAGTTATTTCCAATATTCCACAAGAAAAAGGATAATTCATAGCATGCAAAGGCAATCTCACTAGTAAAAATGTAATTACCATGACACTAATAAACTATAACACCTCACTAAGTCCCAGCATCCTCCTGAGATTCTTAAACTCCCCCATGTAATTGCTGTCTGTGAGGCTTTACCAGAGGGATGACAAAAGGGTCCTTGAAGCTGAGGCTGGCTGCAATGGTCAGCACAGGGTCCAGGCAGCAGAACAAGGCTCCAAACAGGATCATCTTCCCAATGTGTGGCTCCACAGGCAGCCGTGCCAGGTGCACACCCAGGGGGGTCAGCTCCTCCTGCCTGTCCAGGGCATTCTGCCAGGGCAGGGCAGAAAGGAGAGAACAAACACACCATGTGAAATGGGGACAACTTCCCTGGAAGAGCCACTGGTACACAGCTATCAGCCACAGTATCCAAACCAGATCTTTCTATTTATTACAACTCATTTGTACAAATATCACCAGAGCAAGGAGTCAGCAGCACAAACATGCCATGAATCTCTCCTTCCCCAGCACCCAAGGGAACAGTGACAAACAAGCTGCTTCTCCCACATGTCTCATTTGTCCCCAACTCCTCACTGACCCACCTGGAACGGGGAGTCAGCAGGGGGTACAGAGGAGGGAGTTAAATCAACACCTGCAGGGTCACCTTTTGGAGCCATTTAAGAAGCCCCTCAGAGCCTGTGCAGAGCCCACGAGCATTGAGGATTGTGTGAAGTGCCCCCTCTGCAGGGAGGGTCCATCCCAAAGGCTAAGGGGTGCAATGGCCTGAGCTGTGCACTCAGACCTGCCTGCTAACACACACAGCTCTGCACAGATCACTCCTGCACACGAAGCAACACTTTACCAGCTCCATGAGGTGATTTATGGCCAATGTCACAGCATCACGAGATGGGGGGTCCATCAGCTTGCTCAGGAAATAGGCAATTCCACCGAGCCTCAGGATCTGAGAGAAAAACCACAGCAAAAGCCTACAGCAACTGAGAAAGACAGGTGCCTAAAATTGGTTAGCATAACCACACTCATTGCAATAGTGTGAGTAATTCAGCACTCGAGTTAGAATTGCTTTAGTTAAGAACTAAAGACAAAAAAATGCATTAGTGATGAGATTTGTAGCAGAAGGATCTATTCTTCATTCACTTCACATACACTTGGCATTCATTCTGCTTGCATAAGGAATTCAATGCCAACTGCCAAAAAGGGAAATTCACACCAGTTCTAAAGCTACTTTGTAGTAAAATTCTTTTAAGAAATACATAATTTAACTCACTGGCATTCTCACTGGAGCTTCTCTGATTGAATGATATGTCATATTTGGGGGACAGCACAGCCCCAATTTCTGTTAGTGGACTTCACCTTTTATTGATACCAGACAACTCTGTTTCCCCTGGGTTTGATGCACTCACATACAAGTGTACATTTACAGAAGTTGCTGCAATAATTGCCTAAATCCACTGCATTTCTGGTGTAAAAGAATTTTGGTTTAACAACCCTAGGCTGAGAGTTGCATTAGCTTATTCTCTCAACCACTTATCCCAATGGAAAAGTAGATAAGAAATGTATTTGGAGATCCCTCCATTCACCTTGATTTGTAAGCAGAGTTCTTCCAAGGGTGTCCTCAGGATCTCTGGTAACTGATAATCATCCAGAAGGCTGGCACGGAGTCCATTGTACAGATGGTAGCAGTGGCCTGGCTGAACTCTGCAATGATTTAAAGAAAATTCTTTTGGCTTTGGTTCTTTCTTGTGGGTTTTTTTCCCTATGAAACTGTGACATTATGGTTCTGTTTGCTGCCAAAGAGCTTCCCAAAACTCCTCAAGGAATTAGAACTGAAGTGTATTCAATTGTAAAAGCCACTTCAGTCTTCTAAAACACAGACTCATTATCAGGAAAAAGGCACAGAGAATACAGAAATTAATTTTTACACCATTTCCACTTCACTGTATCAGCCTCATAAATCAGGTATGAGGGTAGTGACAAAAATGAAAATAAAATGCAGGATATTCTTTTATAGGAAGGAAACTCTGGAGTTAAACACAGCACGAGTCAATTCAGCTTCTGAGGAAGACAGGAAATCATTCCTTGCCCAGGAACAGGAGCCAGCAGTGCCAGCACATGCAAACAAATAAAGAACCTTCAGCACTGTTGGAAACCCAAGGTGCTCAAAGCTCCCCACTGCTCGTACCTTCCTGCCCGACCCTTCCTCTGCTTGGCATTGGCTTTGCTGACCCACTCTGCTGCCATGGTGCTGATGTTGTTCTGGGTGTCAAAGTGAGTCTCCTTTATTTTCCCCCCATCTATCACGAACACAACGTCATCAATTGTGATGCTGTTGAAAAAAAAAAAAAAAAAAAGGGAAAAAAAGGCAACTTTTCATCTTTGCAAGTGTGACCTAGGGCTGGGTTTGGCCTCTCTTTATTCCCTCCCAAACAGAGTCGACAATTAAAAAATTTGGAATTTCATTAAGAATGATGTTACTGAACAGTTTAAGAAAGAGTTGTTTTATTCTCCTTGGTCTAGCAGAAGTCCCCACTTGGGTTCTGCAGAGAGGACAGGAAGCTCAGATTATCCTGTACCAGTTATTCTAACAATTGTTTAGTATTCCTGTAGTTTAATTGTTCATTATTCCTGTAGTTTAATTGTTCAAAACAATGTAGTTGGTTGAATTGTTTAAAACAATTATAGGAAATCTCTGTTTAGTCTATAAGTATTTCTAAAGACAAAGTGTTATAAATGAATGGCCCAAACACAGAAATGTATTTTCAGGAACATCAAACAGGTTTATACTTTAAATGATCACTTCCATTTCTTTTGTTAAACACACAGCTTTCCTGGCTCTGGGCAGGCAGGCACTTACCTGGTCTCTGCAATGTTGGTTGCAATCACGATTTTCCTCACTCCTGGTGGGGTCTTCTTGAACACCTGTAATTACCCAGGGCCCATTTATGTCTTTGCCAAAACCAAACACATGCTTCATTCTTTTTTTGTGTTTTGTTAGTTGTGAAATATTGCAATAAGAGAGAAGCATACCTGAGTCTGGTTAACAGTAGGCATCAGTGAATGCAAAGGTATGATAATAAACCTATCTGAAAGTTAAAAATCAGTAAAAGATATGGTGTAAGCACAGAAACTTCCAATTTTACAGGAAAATATTAAATCAACTACACAGAACAAAAAATAGGCTACAAGTCAGGCCACTGCCTCTTGCTCTGAGATCACAGGTATTTGTATCATTAACAGCAAATTCTAAAGTAAAAAGGTATAAAGGCCTTTTTTATGATGCTATGACAGGTTCAAGAAAATATATGAAGTTATGTATAGTAATTTAGACTTCCTTTTTAAATGCTGAAGTTATTTAATAATTGATCAAATTTAATATGCAAACTGAAACTTAATCTTTCAATAAACTGGAATTCTGCATCTATGGAATGTACACAACCACACTGCAAGTCACCACCTGAACAGTCAAGAGCCCAGCTAAGACAGGTGAGATGGAAATATGAGAGATGCAAAAGGACAAGCTGAAGTGTGTCACACAGGCACAGAGTACTGGAGAGTCTGCAGGAAAGCTTCTCAAATCAACAGGATTTAAGGAACTATCAGCAAAGCAGGGGAGGCTGCTCAAGGATGAATGCAGAGGAAGCACACACAGAATGGAGTTCAGTTTTGGGTGGGAGCTCTCTCAGCTACAGGAAAGGACAAGAGGAAGAAGATGCAGGTCAGGATGTTTTCAGATTGTCACTTCCACACTGAGAAAAATGAGTTGATGTTAGCAAAGATACCACAGACACAAAAAAACTGCTGAACACTTTGGAGAGGAGATGAGAGAAGAAAATGAATGCAGTGCAATTTGCACCCCATGCAAAAGAAGTCTGTCCCCAGTGCCACTGCCAGAACTCCCACGGAGAGTTTGAGTTTTACCTGACTTAAACATGACTTGAGACATCAAGATCTCATGCAAAGTGCTGATGTTATCCCAGCCTGGCAGAAACACCAGAATTGCACCATCCTACGGGGAAAAGAGGCAGTGAAGCAAGAGAGGTCAGAACACATCACACACTGCACACAGAGCCAGCTCCAGCACTGATACATGTGAGACTGAGACCTCACTGACCCAGTCTGCAACAGCCTATCAAGGGTTTTTTCTATAACAGAGCTACCTGCACATATTTATCTGAATGTAAGAGCAATTCAAAGTTGTTCAATTACTTAGAAGAGCTAAGAAAAATTTCTCTTCTTTCTTTGTGACCAGCCAAAGTCACTTCCAGCTGTGGCACTGTCCCCAGCTCAGTCCCACTGTACCTCCTCTTCCAGCACAATGTGTTTGATCAGTGCTGCCACAAGGTCCAGGTCCACCTTGTCATCATCCATCATTTCCAGGGCATCGATGGTACTTGCTGAGTACCTGCAGCAGGGAAAGCACAGACACTGGTGCCTTGGAACATGCACAGCCAGGGCTGCTGCTGCCTGCCTCTGACATGAACCCACGTCCAAGCAGCTCAGTTCTTTCAGCAATTCCTGCACCTCCAAAGTGCTCTCCATCTACTTCAGTGTGATTACTGTCAGTTCAGAACAGCTGAACAATGACCATGACATGTCATGACTCAACTGTCTCTGAAGCACTTACACGACCTCTCTCCTCATCCATGAGCCAGGGACTGACAATTTGTATTTAGGTAATGAACTGAAATTCAACTTGAACAACTCAGGGGCAAAGGGAGCTAATCCTGCTGGCTCTAAAGCACTTCACTGGTTGCCAGCCAACTGTACAGGCACTTCCATCATCATTTCCCACAGCAGCCACTACCCCACTGTTACTGAAGCCCAGCAACACAATACAGCACTGACTTATGATTCTCACTTCAGAGCTGCCTGAAAACTGAAAGCAGATATGAAACTTGTGCCCAACCTGCCCTGCAGCTGCCTTAGGTAGGCTGGCCACTGCTCCCTGTAGATCTCCTCCTTCTCCTCCTTCTCTGGCCTGCTCACGTGGCCCTGCATGAAGCCCTTCCTCCAGTGCAGCCGACGGTCCATCTTCTCTGGGGTGTACCTTTACACAGAAGGAGCAAACACAATTCCATGTCAAACTGGGGCAATTTAGAGCAGCTGCACAGTTTTCCAAACCATGGACAATATGCTGGGCTTTAGTTATACCATCTGTAAGAATCTTCAGTTTCTCTTCTGATAGAAACCTTACAAAAGCAGGGACCAACCTTAGTAAGCATGAGAACATGTAGAAAAAAAAAAAAGTGAACAGTAGGAAAGACTAGCTTGATTTAGAGACCTGAAAATTCACCACAGCAACAGAGAAATTGTTCTCCCCCTCAAGCCAATTCCCATTGTGTGCCATTGTAATTACAGTACAAGGCGAACCTTAGGAGGTTTTCTATTGACAAATACAGGCAATTCTTCTTTATCCCAAAGGTAATCTCTGAGCATACATACACACTAAGCTGAACACCCTCCCAATACTCTCTGAAATGATGCTCAGAAAAAACACTTGCCTCAACTTCTCAATGACATCTTCGAGCAGATATTCCACCACTGGGAAAGTGAATCCAGGGATGTGAATCATTGGGCAATGGTCTGTGGAAGGAGGCAGAACTCGATTTTAAAACTACTGATGAAATACTGCACTGAAAGAATAGAAGCAATAAACATTCCTCACTGCAATATAGCTGCCATGTCTACAGAACATTTCCAGTTGTCAGGGAAGATGTCAAAATCTTCCCCAAATAAGGCTGCTGAGTAAAAAAAGCACAGGCAGCAGGCAGTATTCTGCACACCAGGATGTTCAACTGGCTCCAGCTACTGGAAAAAGCTGGGAGACTGAACAACTCAAAGTTCAATCTGCCCACTCACAGCAAGAATGCTAAAACATGGTAAATATTTACTAGGAAAACACTTTGTGTATTTTGTTTCCATAATATGTCTGAAAAGCAAAACCAGAAGCAATATTGTGTTGTAATGAGATAAAACTGAGAGAAACTGCATCTTCAGCAGCTGGCAGATATTTGTAAAACTGAAATAATTTCTTCTTTTAATACAAATCAATTCTCTAATTCGAGAGCTGCACTATACTCTAGAAGCCTAAACTACTTAAGGGGAACATTTCTAGGAAGCATTTCACCTACCAAAGTACTCAGAAAACTTCTCTGCATTTAAAGTAGCACTCATCAGTATGACTTTCAGATCCAGTCGAACATTCAGAAGATCTTTAATAATGCTCATTAAAACATCTGATTGAAGATTTCTTTCATGGATTTCATCAAGAACTACATGACTGATGCTGGACAAGTGCCTAAAATAGAAGGGGAAGAAGTTAAACTTTTGTTTTTAGAAAAAATAAAAAGCAGAGCCATGACTGTTTGGAACAGCTCAGGACTCATTTCATACTTGCATTCAGTGTCTGGTTAAACAGGAGCTCTTACTTATCTGACTGGAGCCACTGCAGGACAATTCCCGTGGTACAGTACAAAATTGAACCTTGTTTCCTTGGCAATCGACTGAAAGAGACAGTGACAACTCCTCAGTTCTCTTTAGCATTTCACAAAATACTTTTTTGTATACCCAGCTGCAGGTGCCACTGCAGACACGATGCACATGTGCCTCACTCTGCCTCCCTCACTCACAGCACCAGGGCAGAACAAGAAATCAGGTCACTGCTGCATCACTTCTGTGATGGGGAATGGACCAGGGACAGGCCCTGACTTCCCAGGCACCTCTGCCACCTCCTGCACACTGAGGTGTGATCCCCACCTCCTGCACTCTGCAGGCTCACACACAGGACACTCACATGCACAGCACTGTGAGCAAAGAGAAACAGCAGAGACATTCCAGGAACTCCAGTTAAAATGCTGGGAGGGCTGAGCTCCCTCTCTCACCAGCAGTTCTGCTTCAACAATAGGGTTCCATTATCTGCTGGTACTGCTTTGGATTTTTAAATTATAGCTGACTATAAATGTAAAAGCTTTGGCTCTGCAAGCTCCTGTTTGCACCTATTACATGGTCCCAGGGAATTAGTCCATAAATGTGTTGCAAATACACAGCTTTCCACAGAAATATGGTTTGGAGCATTCTCCCCTTCAGCATTTTCACTTTTCCTTGAAATTCATTGATTAGGGACATCAGTTTTATTTCTGCCCACAGCAGAAACTTTTACAAGAGCTGAAAACTGGACTTATTAAACAAAGGCTACCTTAGGCTAGCCACTGTCACACGGGGCATAAAACACAGCAATTGCACTCAAACCTCCTCCTAAAATTCAAAAACCTCACTCCTTCCTGGCAGGAATTCCTTCAGGGGAAAATATCACCAGGAAAGCAGTTATTTCTTTTTAGAACTACTTTTCAAATTGTCCCCCTTGCATAGCAGCAGGCCCTTGCCAGGGAGCCACTCACCTCTGCAGGCGGATCTGGTAGCCCGTGCTCCTGCCATTGCCACAGCCCTCTGCCCTCTCAGCAGCCACTCTCTCGGCCACCTGAGGGGAGAAAGAAAACCGGGCTGTCACTGAGCTGCTCGCCAGCAGGAACACCTGCAACTGAGACGGTTTGTAAATAACAAAGAAATGCCCTGGAAAACATCTTTTCTCCTCTGCCGAGAGCAGCAACCCAGGGCCAAGACTCTGGAGGAACACACCCACACGGGCATGAGCAGCACATTCCCCTTTCAGCACGGTGGGCTTTGAAAAACAGATTCTTTCCTGCTCATTAACACGCTTCTAGAGGGCCTGACACAACTTTGGTTATCTTAACTGCCCAAACCCATTACAATCACAGCTATAACCCAGGACTAAAGTCAGGGAAGAACATGGAGGGCTGATCTTGTGCATATGCAATTAGTGCAGAACTGCTGCAGAGGGACAGGCCGGGCGTGCCGAGGGAGGGGCACTCACGGAGATGGCGCTGATGCGGCGGGGCTGGGTGCACACGATCCTGCAGGTGGAGCCCAGGCCGCGCTCGATGTGATCGTCCAGGATGAACTGCGTGACCTGCGTGGTCTTGCCGCAGCCCGTCTCGCCGCTGATCACCGTCACTCGGTGGTTGTTGATCAGCTTCACCAGCTCCTGGCCAGGCACACACACCACAATTACCGTGCTTGTTGAGAGCAAGGATTTTGAGAATTCTCTGCTACTGTGAGATGAACGCTGAGCAAAGTATCAGCAGCTGAAGAAACGTTCAGCTGCTTCTTATAATGGTACAAAAAAAGTTTAGTTTAAACCTCATAGAATTAATTACTGGACGTTTGCAATTCCCATGTGTAGGGTTTAAAGCATACTCAACCTCAACACTAGCTTTAAATACTTTAGATCCTGTATGAAAACAACAAAACAACTAAAATGAAAGCCTGAAATACATTTTTAACCCTTCTGCTTCCTGCTTGGCTCCTGTAGATCTTTGGAGACTGAACACAAGAGTTTGCCCTGTTAGACTCCAAGTCTGCACAAACTAAAGGTTTCCAGCACAATATTTGAACATTTTTTGTACCAACAGGAACAGTTTCCCGGCCTCCTCCTCCCTCCCTACGCCAAGGACTATTAAGGGGAGTATGACTATTTTAAGAAACAAATGCTAACAGAAAGGACATTATGGCAAATAGAGGAACTGTAGGAAGGAGCTCACTAATCACCCACTGAGCCTGCAAAAGCAAACATATCAGAATATATTCCATTTCTGCTGCATACAGGGGACATCAGCCTAAGAATTAACATCAATTAGTAACAGAACTTATCCTGTGACTGGGAAACTAATGGCACTGAGGGCCAGCAGTGCAGCCATTAACTCTGTGGTTAAAGCTAAAAAGGCTTAATTTGCATTATTCTAAACTGGCTAATTGTTCAACAAAGGGCACAATTTTATACACAGAAGAAAGCATAACCATCTGAGTCACGAGGAATCTTCTAGAAGTTTATTGGGCAGAAAAAGAAGACCTGTTATTAAATGTATGTGGCAGCCATGTACTCCCAGGATATTCCCAGTTACATTCCCGTGAGAAGGCTGCACTGAGCCCCCTAACACAAGCAGTGAGCCCCTGGTACTGTGTGGAAAGAAATCACCCCCAGAGTCAGAACCTGGGGGGCTTCTCCCCTTCCTGAGGGCCACCAAGGATTGCTGCCAGTCTCAGGGCACAACTGCTCTCCCCTGTTTTGGAGCTCACACCTGAGCCTCTCTCTTTAAATACACACTCACCTCTCTCATCCCGTACGAGGGCAGCTTCTCTCGGAATCTCTGGGGAAAAAGGAAAAAAATGTTTCTCTTCAAACACGTTTTCAGCACTGAAGCAATAGAATAGATTTCACCTCTAATCTGGGCTAAACTGCAAAATAACAACAAACTGCTCAGCAACACTTGTGTAAACACAGGCCCGTGGGAAATAACTTTAATGCCGTGTGTGGTTTCAGTTTGGCTCAATTTAGAAAAATTATTTCAGCCCAACAATTCAGTACATGATAAGGTACTGGTACATCCAGGTGCAAGAGCAGGGCCTGGTATGGAACAGAGAACTGGTGCTCAGGGTAAGACAGATTTCTATTTGTGACTGTTCAAAACAAAACTCTGTTTTCAAGAGGCCATTCCTTCAGAGCCCAGTGCTGTGATTTCAGTTCCAGACATAACTGGCGGGACACAATCCATAAAAAAGAGAAACATGTCACTTCAAATCTCAGATTCTAACTGTTTCTGAAATTTGTAATTTCCCATTTTTAATCATGTTCTACCAATAGATATGAATTTTATGAATTCTAATGATAATTTTTAGCAAAAGTAACATCATGACAACTTTCTAGTAAATGGAAAGATATTTTCAGGTTAGCTTAATTTTTTAAAAATCCAATGAAAAGTTTTCAACTTAACATAAGGAAAAGTACCTGCATTTCAATATATCTGGGATCAGATCTCTTCTTCATTAAGTCCTCTTTAAGTTGTTCATCTAGATCAGCATCCTGCTCGGTTTTTTCACAGAGATATTCCACATCCAAATCCAGGGATGTTTTTTCCCAGGCTGGTTTCTGTCTTACAGGAGCTTTTTCAGCATCTGGTTTCACTTTGGGAGGCTGCTCTGGAGCAGAGCTGGAATCACAGAACACGAACTTCAGATTCCCCCAGCTGTGCCTGGCCACACGCAGTGTGCAGGTAATTACACCCAGCAGTTAATGAACAGACAGTCCATGGGAATAGAGAACCATGGAATGGTTTGGGTTGGAAGGACCTTAAAGCCCATCCAGTGCCACCCCTGCCATGGGGACACCTCCCACTGTCCCAGGCTGCTCCAAGCCCCCAACCTGGCCCTGGACACTGCCACAGCTGCTCTGGGTCTGTCACTACAGTGAAAGTCATGAAAATGTCATCAGAGAGTTACTGCCTGATCCACTGCCCCATGACTGGATCCCAAATCCCCTCATTTCAGCACACCAGCCTATTCCAGCTATTCCTGAAAATCCTTAATGAGTCCAGAACAGACTCTGCTTCAGACACTGCGAAAATGTTCCAAGACTGCACAACAACTGAATACAGAAGCCAAAAGTCACCTCTGGAAGAGTAATTATCTTCCAAAAAAGACCAAGGGAGCTGAAAAATCCCATATATCTACCGTAGTATATGAGATGAGTTTTAAGTTTTGAGTTTAAGTAGAAATTTAACACCCCAAACTCAGCAATAACGAAAGTGTTTTATAGGAATGACTACAACCACTTTGGTGTGACAATACACGGAGGGAATCTGGATGATATTTGTTGAGCAATACGCTCAATAAAGGCAAATAGCTTCTGACACATCTTCCTGTCAGCTTATGCAAACTTTGTGCAATTCAAAATAAACAAAAGAACTAGTAATTATATCTCTTTACCCTTCTTCATCTCCGGACCACCAGGACATGGCTTCTTGCTCTTTGTCGCTTTTAGTCTGGACAGAATTCAGCAGCTGCACGATTTGCTCTTCCCTGCGCTCGTCCATGCGCACCACAGCTCTCTAGGGCAGAAAGCACCGGCGGCATCGGCCCGTGTACCCACACAGAACGGCAGCACCGCTCACCCACCCACCCACCCGGCCTCCCCGCCCACGGGGCTCTCCGGCACGACCACCGACCTCCGCTTTTACCCACCTGTCCCCAGAACACGGCCCCACACCCCTCACCTGCTGCCGGTCCGCGTCCCGGTTCTTCTGGCTCTGCTTGCGGGCGTACCACAGCCCGATCTCTCGGCCCTTCAGGTGCCCGGGGTGCCGTCCCCGCCCGCCGGGCCCGCCCGCCGAGGAGGAGGCGGCGGCGGAGGCAGAGCCGCCATCGCCGCCACGGCCCCGGCCGCGCCCGCGGCCCCAGCCCCGCCGCTGCTCGTAGCTCATGGCCGCGGGTGCCGGCGCGGAGCAGCCGGCACAGCCCGGCCCGGCGCGGCTCAATCGGCCCGGCACGGCCCCGCCTCATCCGCCGCCAGCGCCCGCCTCATCCGCCGCCGCGCTTCCGTCCGCCCCTCCGCCCGCATCACCGCGCCCGGGCCGCCCTCCTGCAGTGCTCGCACGGGCCCGCCTGGGCTGCGGGTTCGAGTCCTCACATTGACCTGACCCATCCCTAAGGGCTGCGGGTTCGAGTCCTCACATTGACCTGACCCATCCCTAAGGGCTGCGGGTTCGAGTCCTCACATTGACCTGCCCCATCCCTAAGGGCCGCGGGTTCGAGTCCTCACATTGACCTGACCCATCCCTCATGGCCGCGGGTTCGAGTCCTCACATTGACCTGACCCATCCCTCATGGCCGCGGGTTCGAGTCCTCACATTGACCCGCGAGGGCCGCGGGTTCGAGTCCTAACACTGACCCATCCCGCAGGGTCTCGGGTTCGATCCCCGGACCGGCCGCTGTGTTGCGGAATGGGAAATGTCTATCGTTTTCTTAATGTTTGATCTTCGTATGCTTGCAGTTCTAATCAACAAGAAGAGAGGTTTAATCCGTGAAAGAAAGAGCAGCCAATGAGCTTTAAGTGATACCCAGGTGTTAGAAAAGTATTTCTGGTATTATGTCGACTTAGATGTTGAAAGGACTGCAAATGAGTCAAAACCTCTGTAACTTCCCAGCTGTGGAGCTGCTCCCTCCTTTCCACAGGTTCCTGCAGGCACCCAGTGCCAACAAACACCAAAGCTGGGGTTCAACACTTTATTTAGGATTCCCTTTAGACACACGTGTTCCTCAAACAAACAATAAATAAATAACTTAAAATCCACTATGGAAAGCTGTAAAGCACTTGAGTATTTGTTATCCCCTTGAGACAGCATTAACAGTTTGAATTGATTCAGCAGTGCACACAAATAAAATGTGTATGATAGGAGAACAGCAGCTGACACTGTATTTGCCCAGGTGAGCTGTGTCGGAGCAGTGCAGGTGTGTAGATAAAACACCTTTAGCTGCTGCTGCCCTGCTCATCCCGCTCTCTGTAGGCTTTGTTCAGCAGCTGGATCTCCTCCTGGTACCCTGCCCTGGCCGAGTGCTGCTTTTGGCTGTTCTGCCGATGAGCCTCCACCGTGTCCGGGATGGAGATGCTGAAGTCGGTGCCGGGGCTGTGCGAGGGGATGAGCAGGGAGTAGGAGGCGCTTTCGCCCAGCTCACAGCACACGAACCTGTTCTCCTTGCGGGAGTAGCGCAGGGAAGGGGACCGTGCGTGCGTGGAGGACTGGCTGATGCTGCTGACGATGGACACGGTGTCCAGGGCCTCCTGGTTGTCACAGATCTCCAGCACCTCCAGGTGAATCTTCACGCTCGTGTCAGCAAACGCCTCCCGGGGCTCGCCGGGGCTCGGCTCGTGGCCCACGCTCTTGGAGCGGTACACTTCGATTTTCTGCGCCCTGGGCGTTATTTTCTGCCCCTCGGAGCTCACCTCGTAGGTGGACAAGGAGAGGGTTTTGCCGGTGGGGGCGTGCAGAGACACGGTGCCCTGGAAGGCACACAGGGGCACGGGCAGGGCACGCTGCGGGGAACAGGCACTGTTAGTGCTGAGCACTGCCCAAAAAGCCAGCATCACTCACACAACAGTGCCCCGCCTGCCAACTGCCTCGCAGAATTTTAAACACCTGCTCTTTGTGACTTGAAAGAGCAGCGAGAAGTTTTTTTGTGTTATTATACACCTTAGTGTGTGAAGTCCCAAGCGACTGTGACTCACTGTGAAATCTACAGAACATGAAAAACAGAGTTTAAATAAAAGCTGATCCTATCAGTGCTAGGTTATGTCCTGTTTAATCAAAGCCTTTCTCTGGAGGGAGAATGAGCAATCTGCACTTGCTGGAATAAACACTCCAGGTCTGGAGACTGAGACATTTCCCAATTACTTAGTGCCTCTTTCTGAAAGTCTTCTCGAGTTTTTTTTTGAGAAATCTGTATTTACTGTTAAAATCAAATCTTCTGTGTCACTGCCCAGTCACTAACCAGGGAGACACTCAGTGCTGTCATTTCCCACTAGAACAGTTCCAGTGGAAATGTTGTTCAATTTCAGATATTTTCTAGAGTACAGAATGCATTTGTCCCTGCAAACCACAGTGCTGTGCTCTGGGGAGCACTGTGGGTACAAGTGCTGGGACTAAACCCATGGTTATGGGGCCCAAAGGAGGGATAAATGCATTTATCCCGGGTTTACCTACAGCCAGGTAACACTGATTATTACTGGAATTACTTTCAGTATCAATTATTATTAATGAGAACAGAAAGTGACCTTTATCTTGTCCTTGATACCATTATTAAATGCCTATTTTTGCTTCTCCTGACACATCCATGACAATAAATAGGAATGCACCAGCAAACCAGACTCTACTGGTACCTCCTGTGAAGTATTTTGCCTCCCACTTCCACAGTTCCCTGCAGTTCAGCTCTTTGCCTTCAGCTCCTGGCCCTTCCCTCACCAAGTTCCACTGTTTGTGGAGAGGATTTCCCATTTCAGGGCATCCCCTGCCCACAGTGCCTGGAGAATGTCCTGGCTGTTGGAATCTGAGACAAGGATGTCACTGGAGAGCTCCATGTGCCAGCACAGGCAATTTTTAAAAGCAAAGACAAAAAAATCCCAGAGAAATAAATCACAAATATCCTTGCTCCTTTATAGAATGCTGATGCAGTCTGAGCAGAGAAATCTCTGCAGAATCAATCAAACAAATCCCCTCATTATTTAATTACACATCACCTCCCAGAGTTCACAGAGGACAGGACCAGCTGTGGTTGCCATGAGGCAAAACCTTCCCCCCATCCCTGTGGGTCAGGACCAGGTTCTTGTCCAGTTCCTGCTGCCTGAGCAGGGCTGGGCTGGATTCATTGGGCAGGATGCATCCACAGGGAAGGCTTGGATGTATCAGAGCCCCACAGCAGCTGGAACAGGCTCTGACAGACAGATTTCCATCTGGAAATGGTCAGAGCAGCAGCTGGGGGCTGAGTGGGACACTGGGACACCATCCCAGCCGGTTGTAGAGTGGCTGGTGGCAAACTCAGGCACTGTCAGACTGTCCCTCTCCATCCTGGTGTGCCAGCAGTGGGGCACAGATGGGCTGGGCTCTGCTGCTCACACACCTTGTGCCATGGCCATGGTGCTCCCACTGGGCCTTGCTGCCTTCCCAAACAGAAAACCAGCAATCTAAAACAGCTCTGGGGAGTTGGCACTCCTAATTACTTTGGTCAAACACAGCTTGAGATGAAAAGGTTCTATTTTTAGAATGTTTCCAGTAAGGATCCCAGCTTTTTCTTTCCAGAAACAACGAGTTTTCTGTTTGTTTTAAAATAGAGGCTTAGTCTTCTACTTCCCTAAAAATGCAAATTAGCTGCAGTGAAATTAATTACTGCAATGATTTGCCTTTTCTGAGGCTGGCTGCAGTAGATGGAGAGCCAAGGGGGTATGACAGAAGAGACAAGCTCACCTCAGATGGCCTGAGCCCAGCACTTGCCATTGCCTGCCCAGTGCAGACAGAGCTGGATTTGGGTCAGTCAGTACCAGCAGGTGCAGCAGAGCATCCAAGGCCAGGACACCTTGGAGGGAAGGGCTGTAGGAGCTCTGTCCAGCCTTGCCCTGCTGGGCAAATGTTTCCAGTCTCACTATTCCTCTGCAATTCCAGAGAGAGCCAAGGGCAGTGGGACTGCAGCAGGGAGCAGCAAGCATCACACAGAGCACACATGGCTCTGGGAGCAGGGTGAGAACATCGAGGGGAAATGGTACACTGATTTTCCAGCCACAGGAACCTCTTTGGAAATCAGGAACAAGTTCCAACCCCCTGAGCAGGAAGGCCCCCGATGGGAGCAGCTCTGTGTATCAGCAGGGCTGCAAGGGGCACAAATTCCCACCAGCCTGTGGGAAGCAATGAGAACCTTCAAGGCCATTCCTAACTCAGCTTCTGTGCTGTGCCTGGTGTTTAAGGGAATGTTCTCAACTTTCCTGCAGTGAGTGAGATGCTGTGTGTTGATCATGTTAAAATACTCCTGCCTGTGCTGGCTCCTCCTCAGTGAAGTCACTGGCACAGCCTCCCCCTCTCTTTGCTTGCAGGACACATAAATAGGTCCTGTGCAGAGTCTCTTCAAAGGGTTTCCTTGAGGCAACCCACTGATGAGCTAGAGAAAAATCATCAGCAAGCCTGGAACAAACTGCCAGCCTGGGAGATTTCTGTTGCCTGAGGGCACTGAAGCATAGACAAAATAAGACATGACATATTTACACTCAATCTCTTTAGGAAGGGACATACACGGGTATTTTATGAGATGTTAAAGGTATTTTTCAGAAATGCAGCCGAGCAGGAGTTAGAATTGCCAAGTACCATTTTCTCTCTCCCTCTCCATTACAGCCATCCTATCATGTATTCAATAAACCCTGCAGCCTCATCCTCTCATGCCACTTTTATTCCAGAGAAAACACTTTGATGGAGCAGCTCTTTACTCACAGAACAGACAATGAAGATACAAGCAGCCACAGCCACTGCTGTCACCCCAGGGAGGTGCCACTCTCCAAGCCCACACTTCAGAGCAAACCAGAGGCATCCCAGGTCCTGCCTGGCACCCTGCTCTTCAAACAGCCCAATCAAACTCCCTGATCCATGGGGACAGCTGCTCTGCCTCCTGTTGCCAGCTCTTACAGCTTCTCCTCTTGAACAGAAAATCAGCAGCCCTGCAATAAGAACCCCTGTATTTATGGACTCTCAGAAGAACCTCTGTATTTATGGATTCTCAGAAGAACCCCTGTATTTGCTGCAGAAGGATGTGGCCAATCAATGCCAGGGAGAGCCTCCTTCTTTAACACAGTGGGAAATGCAGAGTGATGAGAGCAGAGTGACTTTTCTTAGACTTTGGGACTTCCAGACAGGATGAATAAAGGAGATGGTTTTCAACATATTAATGTGTGGCTCAAATTGATCTTTTATCCAACATAAACCTGAGCAATGCAATTAACATTATTTTTACAAAGCTTGCAGGGGTTTCACACTCTGCCCTTTCCCAGCTGCAAAGCAAATGTCAGCTGTGGAGCTCTGGCAGCTCCTGCTGAATGTCAGAGCCAGGCAGAGCTGTGACTCCAAAGCCTGGAACTTTTACCCCTTAGGAGCTTTAGTGCCTGGCACTGGGTTATACCTGGGAAGGTGTCAGAAGTGGATGAGTTGTGATTCTTTGTAATGCAAGAAGGGAAGACTTTGTCCAAAAGTGCCATACAAGGCCCCAGGGCACATAAAACACCCCCAGGCAGTCTCTGCCAGCTGCTCACAAAGAGCTGCTCAAACCTGCAGCAGTCCTGGGGCTGCAGCTGAACTGGCACCAGGGGACATAGGGAAAGGAATTTTTTTCTTTTTTTAAACATCACCTGGAAAGTCCTGCAAGGAGAGCCACAGTTATGAGCCTGATACAGTGATTTTATTAACCAAGCTGCATATGGCACATGAACTGATAGATTAAAACCAGGCTGAGTCATCACTTCCTATTGCCCCCAAATGCAGGAATTCATTTCTGCACACTGCAACAGAGTGAGCATTGATTTTATACGAGAGGGATGATCAGTCACATTTGAAATATCAGCCAAATTCCTAGTGTGACTCAGATGATAAACTTGTGTTTATCAGATGGAGAGAGATTCCCATAATTGAACACAAAATACATCTGATCCATCTCCTGTGTGTGAGCACAGGCCCAGCACGGGCTGATCTGGCTCTGAAGTCACCCTGCTTGGAGCAGGAGGTTGGATTAGGTCACTTCCAGAGATCCCTCCCAACCTGAAGCCTTCTGGAGCTCCTGTCTCCCAGCCTTCACGTGGGCTCTCACCCCACTCCCACCTACTGTAATGCCCAACAGCCACTGAATTCCACAGTGGAATTCTCTGGAAAATGTCATCTTTGGGAGAGAAGCTTCCTATTCATGAAAATAAAGTAACGTAATTCATACTTACTTCTTATCATATACAAATCATGCAGGTGCACACAAAATAAGAAAATCCCATGATTAAGAACACAAGTGAGAAATTATTGCAGGATCATCACCTGCAAGTAGGTGTGTGGTTACTAAACATTATCCAATGCTGTGTATGACTTTTACTAAAAAATAGGACTAATTGAAGTATCAGTGTCAGCAAACATTATTCCTATTCGATAAGGAAACTCTTATTATCAGAAAAGAATTAATTCCTACTTTACCTGCCGAGGGTTCCTCTCGGATTTGCTCCGGCTCCACTCCCAGTCTGACAGTTCTGGTGTGTGGCTCTCCTCGTGGGACAGTCTCCACTCTGGTCCTTCAGGGAACACTTTGGGGTCACAGTCTGTGTCCCCCTGGCCCTGACAGGCCCCTGGCCCAGCAGGAGAGGGGCTCGGGGGGTCTGTCCCAGTGTCCCCAGAGCCGTGTCCCAGTGCCAGGGCTGGGGTCCTGCTGTCACTGCCCCTGCCAGGGCCCTGCTCCTCGCAGTCTGAGCTCAGCAGGCTGTGGTAGCACGGGGATTTTCCAGCACTGCTGGGCTGGGAAGGCTTCTCCCTGGATATCCTGTAGATTCCATAGCCCTGCTGGAACGACAGGTTGAACTCAAAACCGCTGCGCTTGGCTAAGCAAGAAGGAAAGAAACTGGGTTAGGAGTTGAGACCAAAAAGAAAAATGAGGTTGCAAACACAATGCAAATGACATGCTAAAACACTGAATCAATTATCCAGCTCCTGCTGGATAATTGGAGGCAATTTTCCCTCCATAAAAGAATGAATTGTTGAGAAGAAAGATTTCTGAGAAGGAACTGCCTTCTAGATGAACTGCAGTCGTTCTCTCTGGGAAAGTGGCTAAAAGGGCAGCAGGGGCAGCACAAGCAATTCTGCACCTGGATAATATGTTTAAAACAAGTGAAAGCTGTGCACTGAGGATGGCTTTTCTCTAAGATCCTGGAGTTCTTTCTCCCTGAACAAGCAAGGAATTTGTCCACCGATGGTAGAGGATTTTCACTCCAGAGAATGGGAAACAACTCCCACATGATCAGAAATATTTAGCCCTTAACATTTGCAGCTGAGACCAGATGATCCCTGTGAGTCCCTTCCAGCTGACCCGCTCTGTTCCTCCAGCTGTTTTTACAGAAAGCCCAAGGAAAAACAGGGCTCTAGAAGATGCCAAGAAGGTTACCAGGGAAGGTCTGGCAACCTCTGTTACACCGGGGCAACCCTTGCACACTTACTTTTGGCATCCTGTGAGGACACCGCATAGGAGTTCCTCCTGCAGTTGATGATGCAGCCGCAGGGCAGGTGGAGCCAGTGCTGTGACAGGACAAACACCGGGGTGACAGTGGCAGCCAGCACGCTCAGCAGGAAGCTCAGGGTCTCAAACGAAAGGCTCTGCAGCCCAGTGATGTGCTGGACTGCCATCTGTATCTGAAAGGCAGAGCATTTTGAAATTTAAATCACTTTGGGCACATGAGATGCTTCCAGGAACAAAGAGAACATCTCGCTATGAATATGCCACCACTGTAAGACACAGACTGTCATTAGTGTTTAGTTGTCATTAGCTGAGGACAACAATTCTGGCTCTAATAGAGAGCAGAGGAAACATGCTGACTGCTCTCCTCTCATGCTGCATTTCTCAGAAAAACCCTCACTGAAGCTAAATGTGGATGCTGAGCACCATTGAACAGCTCCCAGTGCCAGCTCCCAGTCCCATGTGGTACCGAGGAGCCCCAGCCTCACACACCCAAGGGCAGGGGTAGCTGCCCCAGAGCCGTGTTCCCTGTTCCCAGCAGATCCCTTTCCCACGTTCCTGTCCCCAAACACACACACATGCACACCACAGCACTCCCTCCCGCCCCAGGGTTTACAAACGTGCAACCAAACTGCATTTTTCTACCAAACTCCTATTTTTGAACCCAAAGGATGTGTCTCAGAGGACAGGACAGAGGGGCCCTTAGCTCAGTTCCCAGCCCCAGGATGCTGAGCAAACCCTGTCCCACAGCTGGCAGTACCAAGGGGGGACCTTACTGCCCCTGGTATTGCATGACATGAATGAGCTGATGAGAAAGTGTCAGAGCAGTGAGCTCAGCTCTGCCAAACCCGCTGGGCACCAGTTAAACTCCTGCAGTGACACAGACCTGCCAGAAAAGAATTCTGCTGGCACAACTACTCTGTGAGGTACAACTGCAATGGCCACTGTTCTGTTTCCATCCATGGCCCACGGGTGACATCCCACTGAAATGTAAGTGAGCATTGGAAAGTGAAGCCATCTGAGAATTTACCATCATGGGGAGCCAGAGAAGGACTTTGGTCAGTGCCAGGATGAGCGAGAATCGTTTCTGGGCAAAGCCCACCGTGAAGCTCCTGCTCTGTGTGCTGCTCTCGGCCACACCCTTCCCAAAAACTGCCTCCGAGTTTTGGAAAGGCTCCAGGGTTTTATCCCCAGGCTCCGGCAGTGCGAGCGGGGTCCCGGGGGAGGTGAAGGCTCCGGAGCCCGGCAGGTGCTCGGGGTGCAGCGGCCGGGGCTCACCTGAGCACAGCGGCCGGGGCTCACCTGAGCACAGCAGCCGCAGGGTGAGGGGAGCAGCCAGCACAGCCAGCAGGGAGAAGCACAGCGAGTACACAAGGAACACGAACAGAGTGTAGGAGCTGGCACAGTCGGCGAAGCAGCCCCAGGACGTGGGGATGTACCTGCCCCAGCCACAGAGAGGCAAAATGCACATCAGCAAACTGACGGTCCAGATGGTGAGGATGGCCCATAGCACGCTCACACGGCGCTTGGAGGAGCTGCAGCTCCGTGTCCCGGTCGTGCTGAAGGTGTAGAAGTTGTAAGAAACTATAAGAGACCCTTTCAGGTTGCTAGAAATGCCCTGGAATAAATAGATAAACGCGGAGGTGGTGCACAGAGGCTGGGGGAGGACTTCACCCGACCACTGCGTGAGCATGAAAATAATCAGTGGCACGATGCTGATCAGATCATCTGCTGCCAAAGAGGTCACAATCATCGAAACCGTGGTTTTGTTCTGCAGTTTCAGCAGCGAAACCAGTGAATAAATGCTGCCCAGAAGGGCTGGGAGTGCGATGGCAAAAGTCAAGCAGAACAGAAAGATATTCCAAGTTCTCTGCTCGCTGGGTTTGTCCATAGCGCTGTGGTTCTCAGTGAAGAAGTTCGTCCCATTGAGTGACAAATTACCAGGAGTTACCGACATTGTCCTGGGCATTTTTTTCTCTGCCTTCTCACTGATTCTGCAAGTTTTGACCAGCCGAAACCAGAACTGTCAGCTCCACATCACAAGTTTCTTTGTTTTCCTAGACTCTCTTTCGTGGCATCTGATGAAGAAATATTCCGGTGGCAGCAGCCCTAATGAGCGGAATTCATGCTCTCAAAAAGCCAGGCAACAATGAAGTAGCGAAGGTGCTGAAAAAAAAAAAAAAAAAAAAAAAAAAAAAAGGAATTCTTCCGAATCGTTCCCGTGCTGGCAGATGGTGAAGGAGAGCAGCTCAGGTGTCCGCATGGCATTCCCGCTGGCACTGGCAGGCGCTGCGTGGCTGCCGAGCCCGGCTGGAGGCGGGCAGGGCTGGGGCAGGGCTGGGGCAGGGCTGGGGCAGACACATCGCAGGCTGGGCTGGCTGCCGGAGCCGCTGCCGGAGCGGGGGATGGCACGGGGACCGGGGATGGCACGGGGACCGGGGATGGCACGGGGATCGGGGGTGGCACGGGGGCCAGGGGTGGCACGGGGATCAGGGGTGGCACGGGGACCGGGGATGGCACGGGGATCGGGGGTGGCACGGGGGCCAGGGGTGGCACGGGGATCAGGGGTGGCACGGGGGCCGGGATGCTGCCCGCCCCGCTGCCCCCGGCGGATCGCAGCCCGGAGCAGTGTCCCCGCTAAGCCACACCTCCGGAATCCGATGCAGACACGGCGAGCTGATGTCAGCCCCGATGTCATTCCCGTAAGTGCCGAGCTGCTCGCGGGCTCCTCAGCGCTGGGATGGATGCTCTGTTCCCTGGATCGGGGATGCAGGACGGGCTGTGCCCTGCCCGCTGGCATCTGCCCTGCGGCCACTCAGCTCAGCCTGGGCTCCGAAAATTCCCATTGCCCGCACGACCCCAAGCCGAGCCTCGTCAGGGGCTGAAGAGCTGCCGTGCTGTACCCCGAGCCAGCACCCTGCAACACGAACTTCTGCGAGTTCCCCCAGCATCCTCCTCCTCACACATTTCCCTGCCCTCTGCAGCTTTCTGACACCGCGGGCACGGTGTCCATCCTGTGCCTCCCGTTTGTGTTTGGAAGGAAACGTTCATCAGTGTTCTTGGGAAGAAAGGCACTTTTATTGCCTTACCCACTCGAAGCAGGTGACTTTTTACTTCAGTTTGTCTTCTCACACAGCGTATCTGCGATCTGAACTGCACCTTGCCACTCTCTGTGGCAGCTTTTATCATAACTTACAATATGGTGAGACCTCCTCCAGTTATCACTGCCCCCCCGTGTCCCGAATTTTCTAAGGAAACAGGGAATGGAACAGCACAGCTCTGCCAAAAAGGCACAGGTAGTGATGGTGCAGGAGGCTGGAGGCAGGAGGAGCAGCTCTGTGTGTGTGTCCTTGGCAGGACTGTGCCAGGCAGGCAGGAAGATGGAGATTCCCCAGTGCCTGCTCTTCCCTTCTGTGCCATCAGGTGATGGGAGGTGCCAACGCCAGAACCGTCCTTCACTGTACATGGATTTATTCCTTATCGTGCTGTGAATTCTCCTCGCTCAGGAATGGTCCCAGGGAGAAGATCCATTGAGGTGGGACCTCCCCTCGCACAGAGCCCAGCAGGCACTCGTGGGACAGGGGAGTGATCTGGGGTTTGCTGTGTGTCACACCCAGCACTGAGCAAACCAAACCAGATAACATTAAACAATATAACTACAGGGATAACTAAACACATGAAAAATGCCTCTCTGCTCAGGAGCCACTCCTGCTCTGGAGGCTCCAAAATGTCAGTGGCATGTTGGAGAGAAAGCCAATTACTGTAGTGCAGTCTGTAACACCACACCACTGTGGGACACTGCACAGGGGGTTAAAGTAGAATCCAAACTGCTGAAGACACAGTTATCCCTTTCTGAAGGGAGGGAATAAAAAAAGATGGCATGTGCTGGGAGTGACCAAACTGTGACCCCATCTGAAATCAGTTGTGTATATGGAACTTTTTCCAATAAAGATAAAATTAATGGCTGCAAGAGCCATGTGTAAAACTGCAGGTTTCCCTGCCTGCTGTGGATTCCTAGGAGCTCTGCCGTGCCTTGTCTCAGCCTTTCATTGTTCCATCTTTATTCCCCATCACCTTCTCTCCCACTCAGCTCCAGGGAAGGCAGAGGGAGCAGATCAGGAAATTCAGCCCCAGGATCTGTGATCAAATCGAGTTTTAATGACAGATTGAAAGATCTGGAACCAAATTCTGCCTCTAGAGGACCAGGAACTGGCTAGCACTGCTCTTACCTGCACCTTGAATTGGATGGGGAACCTTCAGGCCGGGCTGCAGGGCTGCCAGCAGCTGGAATTGCTGGGAATCTGTGCCTTGGGAAGGGCCCTGGCAGGGTCAGGGGCTCCTGCAGAGCCCCAGGGGTGTCTGAGGAAGGGAATAACACCTGACAGGACAAAGCTCTGCCCCGGGCATGTACCCTCCAGGTTTCAGATTGGGAACGTGGAATATTGAAAGATTCATCCAGAAAGAAAGTGCAGAGCAATGCCACTGACATCAAGCATTTATTAATGATTCCAGTCAAAAGGAAGAACTCATGAATATTTTAATGAGATTGTGAGGGGAAACCTCCCAAAGACGATAAAATCACACTTAGCAAAGAGCCTTTCAACTGCAGGGGCAGTTCCAGCCTCTCAGATCTGCTCTTTCCGAGGCTCAGACTGTGGAGAGACTGCAGAAGCCAGGCTTAGTGCCAGCACAAGCTGGACAGAGTGTGTCAGCAGGATACAGGGACTGTGGAAAGCCTTGCCATAAACATCTTTCTTCATCAGCCTCGATGGAAACCATGGCTCACTGCCTCAGAGACGAAGGTTTCAGAGAAAGATAAAAGAAAGAATGCTTGGGAAGAAGCCAGAGTATTTTCAAACACGGAATCTTTTCAATTCGTGTGTTTATCTTATTCCCTGGGGCTGATGACAAACGGGACTCTGTCTCCATCCATGTCACTGTTGGTAAAACAGCCATTTCTGGGGACCCCCAGTCCCCTCACCCTGGGCACATCCAGCTCCTCCAAGGGAGCCCCAGCCCCTCATGTGAGCATTGGCTGGGGACAAGGAGGGACCCAAGTGCTTCTGCTGTGCAGATTCCAGAGGCAGGGAGCAGAGTGGTCTGTGCTCCTCACCACAGCACAGCTGCTATTTTATTTTATTTTATTTTATTTTATTTTATTTTATTTTATTTTATTTTATTTTATTTTATTTTATTTTATTTTATTTTATTTTTTTATATAATTTCATTTCATTTCATCAAATATTTCCCACATGCATTAACAAGCATGGCTGCCTGGGTTTCTGCAGAGACTCCAGGTCTGTGCTGGGGGAGCTGAGGAGATGAGAACTGAGCATCAGCAGCCCCTTCCACAGCGTTTGCTTTGCAGAACATGTACTTATGAAATATGCATGTGCTGAGAGGTGATTAGGATGCAATTCCTCATTTTGATTAAAATGCTTCTTCCTTTATGTTTACTGAGCTTCACAAAACAGTCTGATTTGTATGCTTACATAGTATTTTTTGTGGGGGTTTTTTACAAACTAAATTTAACTTCATTGCTCTGTGTGCAGAAATGAATGCAAATATGCAACTTTCTTTAGCTCACAGTTATTAACCTGAGAGATAAGCTGTTAAGTCCAAGCCCAAAAAGATGGCTTTATTTTTGAGGTGGGGTGCTGGCATTGTTTCTCATCACCTGGAACCCTTTTTTCCTGGGTTTACATGCCCAGATGCTGCCAGATGCACTGGGCCTGGAAAAGTTAGACTGTTAGTCTAACCTTTAGACTCTGAGCCTAAGTTAGATAACCCCATTTTCAGTATCCCATCAAAAGCCTTTAACTACTGGAATTCCTGAAGTTGTTAGGATCTGCAAAAAATTTCATAGTCTAGAGAAAATTGAAACTCATTTGGAGTAAACTACATAAGATGGCAAAATGGGCCTTTCTCTCACAAATGGCAGAAAACAAGCCTTAGAGGACAGAAAAGAGATTTATTTCATAGGAAAAGGTGCAGTAATTTTGTTTTCCTGGCCATTTTTACCAGTGCTTTTATTACAGATTTTGTATTATTCACTCCTGTGCCAGCACTCCACCAGGGCCTGACAACATCCAGTAGCACAGTGTTCTGAAATGGAGCTGCCTCCTGAATCAGATCTGTTATTATTGTAATATCTCATATATCACTGCCTCTGAAAGACCTGCCAAAGCCTTTTCACAGTGCAGATATCCCTGGTCTTTGAGCCCCTAACTGTGTCCTATCTGCTATCCCATTTTGAGACAGTAAAGTTCCTTGACAATGCCCAGCCTCCCTTCAGTCCTCAATTTCAATTAAAAGCAGAACAAAGGTCTTGAGGCAATGTTCTGGTGTCACTCTCTGGGTATCTGTAATCTCAGCAACAGGCACTGGGGAATCTGGGAGCTGGTTGAGTTTGGCACAGCTCCTTGTTGGATGAGAACACGTCTCTTCAACCCCCCCAAACCTGTTCCAACAGAAGGTGTTACTGAATTCTTCCTACAAGAAAATCTCTGCCAGTGCCAGGATCCCTCCACTCCATTTTGCCTGATGACAAGAGAATTCATGGGGGTAACTGAGTGATTTCATTCACCACTCTTCTGTGAAATATTAATGAGCTTTTTTATTCTCCTCTGCTTCTCAGAACTGTTCCACCCTTTATCTCCTGCCAGATTTGAATGAGGACGACAGCAAAGGTCACCATGACAATGGTAACTGTGAACTGCTTAAGCACAGGATGGATTTAGCACTGAGCATTGCCAAGGCCACTTACAGATGTAGCAGGAATTCTAAATGCCTGCTTATCTTCCATTGAAAAAATTTCAATCAAACGGCAAATCGTGATCAGAGCAGCAACTCCTTGTGGGGGTACCTTGGGCACTTAATGCAAGTGCAGCACTGCAGCCACGAGCAGACAATAAATACTGGTCTGTATCAATGCTAGGAAGGCATTTAAGAGAAAAG